ATAGCCGGAAAATATATCAGAAACAGTAGTCGCAAAACGGTGGTAATAAATAAAGCATTGTATTCTCACTCTTCCTTTTTCGCTCTCTGTTACTCTCTCTCCTTCTCTCCCACTGTCTGTCAGTCTTTTCTTTTTGTGTCTATTTCTTTCTGTCGGTTTCTTTCTGACTCTCTCTCTCTCTCCCTGCCTTTTTCTGTCTGTTGTCTGCCTGCCTACCTGCCTGTCTGTCTGTCTGTCTGCCTCTCTGTCTCTGTTTGCCAGCCTGCCTACCTGCCTGTCTGCATGCCTGTCTCTGTCTGCCTGTCTGTCCCTCATCCCTCTCCATTCGCTTTCTAAGTTCGAGAAAAAACTTTGAGAAAAGATCTTAACAAGGTTGTCACTTGCGTCACCTCGTTATGACTAACTACCCAACAAACTATCTGCAGTAACTGAGAACTGGACAAGAGCTGTTTTTCAACTTTCGTGATCGTTAGACACAAACATCATCAGCCGTCGTTGGACACCATTAAACATAATAAGCCATCGTTAGACATCATATACCATAGTTAGCAATCGTCAGACATCATTAACCATCGTTAGACATCATTAACCATCGTTACACATCATTAAATCGTTAGACATCAGTAATCATCGTAAAACATCACTGACCATCGTTAGACATCATAAAACATCGTTAGACATCATTAATCATTGTTAGACATCACTGACCTTCATTAGACATCATTAAACATCGTTAGACATCACTGACCATCGTTAGACATCACTGACCATCGTTAGACATCATTAACAATCGTTAGACATTATCAACCATCGTTAGACATGAAAGCACTAACATTAGACATCAAAGCACTAACGTCTAGACATCCACTTGACCCATCGTTAGACATCATACCATCGTTTTAAGACAATCATTAACCATCGTTAGACATCATTAACATCGTTAGACCATCACCATTAACCATCGGTTAGACATCATTAGCGACCGTTAGACATCACCAGCCACCGTCAACCATTATTTCTCATCCAACACCAAGCTTACATCATTATAATTTGTCTCTTATGCTCTACAGATCCGGCTGGTAACCGGAAACTGAGAATGGGGATGTGTTTATATATACGATTTAGACTGCTGACGCATTCATGTGTTTTGCAACATAGATTAAGCGTGTTTATTTCACTAAGCGGAACCGTTTGCAGCGTTATTTATACGCAAACCTGTATCAACGTGTAGATAATTTGTTCATATATGCAGCATTTGAATCTGTTGAGCTATTTGTATTTCTCTGTCCTCCGTCTCTGTGTTCTATTATCTCTCTCTCTCTCTCTCTCCTTCCCCTTTCTTTGTTGCCTCTCCTTTTGACCTCTCCCTCGTTCCCTTCTTCTCCCCACTTCCTCATTCCTCCCTTCTTTCTCCCTCTCTCTCTTCTCTCCTTCTTCCGTTTTTCGTTTACCCTCTCTCCCTCCTCTTCAACCTCTCCCTCCCCTCCCTCCCTCCCTCCCTTCTCTCCTTTCCTTATCCCTCTACCTCCTTCCTCTCCCAACACACCAACCTGCCCTCTCCAACCCTCTTCCTTCCCCTTCTTTCTCTCTCCCTCCCACCAACCTAACCTCTCCGTCTCTCCTTCTTCCCTCCCTGCCCTTCCCTCCCCCTCTCACTAACATTCCCTTCCGTCCCTCCCTCCTCCCTCTCTCCCTCTCCTTCCCTCCCCTCTCTCCCTCTCCCACCAACCTAACCTCTCCGTCCCTCCTTCCTCCCCCCCTCTTTCTTTCTCCATCTTTACCTCTCTTCTACCTCCATCCCCTCTCACACGAACCTGCCCTCTCCGTCCCTCCTTCTTCCCCCGTCTTTCTCCTCCCTCTCTCCCTCGCTCCTTCCTCCTCCTCTTTCTTTTCTCCTCCCTCTCCCTCGCTCCTTCCTCCTCCTCTTTCTCTCTCCTCTCGTTCCTCCTCCTCCCTTTCTCTCTCCCTCCCTCCCCCTCTATCTCCTTTCCCTCCCTCCCTGCCCCTTCCCTCCCTCTCCCATCAACCTAACCTCACCATCCCTCCCCCCTCCCCCTCTATCTCCCTCCCATACCTCCTTCCTCTCCCACTCTCTCCCTCCCCCCCCCCCCCCTGCCCTTCCTCACTCTCACTCTAGCTCTCTCTTTCAGGACGTCCCAACGACCTGCAGCTTCCGTCGCCTTCGCTCTCCCCACACAATATCCGCTGGCCCGCTTTCCCTTGACAAATGCTTCGGGCACAAACACACACTCTCTTCGGTCATCAAAGGACAAAAAAAAAAAAAAAAAAAATAAAAGGATGAAGGAAGATTAAAATTTAAAAAAAGAAGAGAAAGAAGGAAGGAGAAGAAGAAAGAGAAAGATGGATAGAAGAAGAAATAGAGGGCAAGAAGAATAGTGAAAAAAGGGAGATGAAAAAGATGAAAATCAGAGAGAGACAAAAAAAAGAAGAGAATAGAAAAAAGGTAGAAGAAAAAGAAAAAAAAGAAAATAGAGTAAAC